ACACATATATATATATACACACACACACATATATATATATATTTATATATATACACATTTTTTAAATTCATTATATTGTATTTTATTTTATTATTTTATTTAATTTGTATTTTATTATTTAATTTAATTGTATTTAATTTAATATTATTAATTTCTTTAATATTATTTATTGATTTAATGAATTTTTTTTGTAAATATTACTTGTTTGAAAAGTGATTTTTTACTTTATAGTACTTATTTTTGTCTTTTAATTTTAATTGTACGCAGCCAAACTACAAACGCTTCAGCAACATGAACCATTTTTGAGATGCCAATAAAAACAAACCACTACAACTGAAGCTGAGAGAGACTGCAAATCACCTGATCATCACAGTGAGAGCATGTGAGAGCGCCAAACAATGACAGAATCAGATGCACAGCAGTGTTTGAGTCTGTTTTCAGCTGCCAGGACTTTGTTTTTGAGAATATCCACAGGTTAAAGGTTGATAATCGCGGCACATGCGTGTGTTTGAGCGATGGTCCTCTGCATGTGCCGCGGCCAGCGTAATCAAGAGTTAATCGACAAGCAGTGAACACAATTACACTCGTTCCTTGTTATCCCTCAGGCCATTTCAGCATCTTTCTAATTAAATAAAGCTGAGATGAGAACCGAGATGAGCAACATTAATTAACACGTTCATCCACAAAACATCACATGGAAACGCCTGACCGTCCAGCAAATCTACATGGAAGAGTAAAATGTTTTATATTTTATTATGTTTTATTTTATTTTATTTGAACATTACATTACAGTTTTCCAATTGGCAGACATTTTAACAAAAGATTTATGAGCTACAGGTAGGGATATTATAGTTAATTAAAGGCATTAAAACACATTTTAATTTCTTGAAAAAACAAAGTCAACGTAAATTCAAATTATTAATAAAAACTATTAAAGCATATCAATGATACTAAAATAACAATGATATATATTTTGTTTTATTTTATTCATTTTATTTAAATGTATTTAATTTTAAAATTTAATTTAATTGTATTTAATTTTAAAATTTAATAATTTATTTTTACATTATTATTATTATTATTATTATTATTATTAATTTACATTAGATTTATGAATTACAATAATTAGTAAAGAGTATTTTATATTACTTTATATTTTATTATTTATTTTATTTTATTTTTACATTTCCATTACATTTATTAAAATTAAAACTGAAAGTATAAATAAAAACTCAAAATATTAATAAAATCTATAATAGTATCTCAATCATTTCAATCAATCAAAAAATCATTTAAAATGCAGTTTTATAAAAACATTAATAAAAATTTCTAACTATTTAATATTAGAAAAATGTATATTTTCTAACTATTTAATATTATTAAAATTGTACAATATTTATAATAATATTTTTATTATTTATATTTAATAATATTTATAATAATAATATAATATTTATAATAATAATAATATAATATAATTATATATATATTTTTAATATATATAAATATATATATTTTTTATAATAATAATAAAATATTTTTTATAATATTTAATATTTAATAAATTACTATATATTATTTAATCAGACAGGAACCGCCTTTAAAATGCCGTAAAACACACATTTTCAGGTCTCTGTGATGCACGTGTGCTATGGGCAAGTAAATGAAGATGTAATTGTCATTTTTGGGTGAACTGCTCCTTGAATAACTCCAGACGATGTTGCGGTGTCCTCTAGCGAACGGGACGCGCTAAATGCCTCAATAACATCCATTCTGTCTGACAATCACAAGCGCAGAGCAGGAGAAGATTATAATGACAGGTGACACTGAGAAACGAACCACTCATCCATTCCTCTCGCTCTTTCAATAACTTCATCTCTCTGTTCATGTCAAAGAAAAAAACAAGTCTCTCTGGACTCGTCGAGCTCTGAATCAAACCTGACAGGCCAAGCGTTTTGATTAAGTCTGTCAAAAAAGAGCCAAGAATGACTTAAACGTTCAGCTGAACCATCAGATAAAGTGTTGAGGAATAACTAACTAAAATTAGCTATTCTACAAAACTACACTTTTAACTATATTTATTTTAATTTACAATTTGTAAAGAAATGGTCACTTTAAAATCTGATATTAGAAACACTGGCATGGAGACAAAAACGGCATCATTAATGTAATCAATGATTTCTGATCATTTCCGTGCGAAATGGAAGCAAAATTAAAATTATTAAAATAATTAAAATGTTATTAAGATAACTTTTAACATTTAAAGAGTTGAGCAATACAAAAATATATATATTTTAAAATTATATTTCATTCTTTTTTCTTTTTAAATATGTTAAGGCATAAAGGTTTTAAATCATTCAGAAAATAGATAATAAAAATTGTATTAATATTTGAATTCCTAAACACTTTATAGGGGAAAAATTTAAAATATTATATTAGCCAAAAGTCAGTTTTAACATCTTATAGTTGTGCAACATAAAAATTTATATTTTAAAAAATTATATATAAAAAAAAAAAAAAACTCTCTCTCTCTCTCTATATATATATGTATGTATATAAAACACCTAAAGAGTTAAGCAATATAAAAGTTCTACTTAAAAATTCAATTATATATATATGATTTGATTTCTTTACAAACATAAGTTAAGGCATAGATGTTATGAATGATTCAGCAAAAAAAAAAAACATTAATATTTTAATTCTTAAGCACTTCATGGGTTAAAAATGTAAAGCTTCACTTTATATTTATATTAGCCAAAATTCAGTTTTAATATCTAAAGGGGATTTTAAAATAAATAAATAAACATAACAAAAATTAATAATAAAAATATTATGATAATATATAAAATATAAACAATATCAGATAAAAATACAATATAAAAAATATCATATTTAGAATTGATTTTGTTTTTCCAATACTTATTTTTGGTTTTCAGCCCAGTGCTAAGTTCTCATCTCGCCCAAGATTTTTTGTTGTGGTGCATCACTAATTCATTTTCTCCACACACACTCACACTCAACACTCACACTCTCACTCTCACCCTCACCCTCACCGACACTCACACTCTCACACTCTCACACTCAGACTCACACTCTCACCCTCACCCTCCCTCACACTCTCACACTCACACTCACACTCACACTCTCACACTCTCACACTCTCACACTCTCACACTCTCACACTCACACTCACACTCACACTCACTCACACTCACACTCACACACAGAGACACACACTCTCTCACACACACACACAGAGACAGACTCTTACAGCTCATTTCAGGGTTACATTAGGTTTCACTCATATCCTAAAATAATAACGTTAACATTATTATAAGAACATGAAGCAATTAAGAATACAACATGCGAATTTGTGTGCGCAAACCAAACTCCCGCGAGAACGCGATGACGCGGTGAACGTTCAAACGCAAAATTACGGGTAAACAAACCGTGTGACCCAAAAATATTCACTAGCAACCAATGGGATTCGAGTTTGGAGACGCTGTAACCACGGAGACTAGAACTGGGTTGTTGCTATGACGACACATAAAAGATTCAATCATGTCTGTAAATACAATAAATGGAACACAATAAACATGAAAAAACTAAACGATGTCCAACTGCAAAGTGATTTCAGGAAATCCAGCAAAACCTGACAATAATCCACTGCGTGCGGCGCATTCACACATTTTCTGATGGATTCAGCTCTGCACAGGGCCAATAACATGTGAGATCGGCTGTTTATAAATCGAATCATTATAATTCACACAAAGCGACCCATCAGCACAAAGGCAGATATGAATAATTCATGAAGGAGAGAATGAGAGAATGTGGGTGGAGGATATAATGGCTCACACAGGTCTCTCGCCCGCTCTCTCTCTCTCCAGCTCCAGACCATCATTAACTTATGAAACGGGACACATTAACATAATGTTACATAATACACACATTTCTATGGATGGGTGTGCAGAAAAATTATGAATAATTATTGAAAATCTTTTTTTTGCATGACTGTAATGAGAATCTGGAGTTTAAATGTGCTTAATCATGAAAAATTATATCAGAAATGCAAAGAATAATCCCACCATTTGTACTACATATATTATTAACGGCAGCTAGGAAGATAATCACTGTGAATTGGTTGAAGATGCACGAACCTACTCTGACAGAATGGATACAGAGACTGAATCAGATACATATATATTTGAGAATATGACTGCAGATTTACAGTTAAAATCTGACATTTTCCAACAGAACTGGGCACTAATCGAAACATATTTGGTTGACATAGAAATGTTGTCAGAGGCTTTTTGTAGTTATTGTATTTGTATTTATTTTAAGTTATTAACGTTTTTTTGTTTTTATAATTTTTTTTGTTTAATATTATTTAAGCTGTCTTTGTTTTTTCCATTTTGTATGGTTATTTATTTATCAATTTTTTTTATTAGTATTTTTTAAGCATTCATATTTTAAGGAAATGTTGTGTGTATATTGTTCCGTTTATAAAAAGTTTAATAAAAACATTTAAAAAAATTTTTTTCAAAAAATATAAACAATAAAATAAAATAAATTAATTAAATATATATGCTTCTGGTCAAAAGTTTGGAATAATTGTTTATATATATATATATATATATTTTTTTTTTTTGAAAGACGTCTCTTTTGCTCACCAAGGCTGCATTTATTTGATCACAAATACAGTAAAAATTGTGAAATGCTGATTTGCTGCTCAAGAAACATTTCTGATTATTATCAATGTTGAAAACAGTTGTGCTGCCCAATATTTTTGTGGAAACGGTGATGCATTTTATTTTTCAGGATTTACAAATGAATAGAAAGTTCAAAAGAACAGCATTTATTTGAAACAGAAATCTTTTATAACATTATAAATGTCTTTACGGTCACTTTTGATCAACTTGATGCACCCTTGAATACATTAATTAATTAAATTTTTTTTATTTAATATATTTCAACATTGATAATAATCATAAATGTTTCTTGAGTACCATGATGTTACCATGAATCTTTGAACATAATACCATGCCGTAACCAGCATGAAAGCAGCATCCAGGTGTTTACCTGAGAAGGCGTTGCTATAGTAACGCGAGAGCGTCTGCATGATGTCTTTGGAGTGCTGCGTCCAGGGCGCGATCTTACGGTACGTCTTCACCCGATGCACCAGCTGAGATCCTCCGTACTGTAAAGACAGCGTGTCGCCGTGATCCTCGTACAGCTCCTCAAACAACCTGCTCACACCATAAACAACATCAGCACGATGGAGAAGAGCGTCTGCCTGCTGTAATGTGTGTTTGCGCAGGTACCTGATGCAGTCCGTGTCGAACTGAAGCTTGGGTTTGTCGATCATCCCGAGAGCATAGAGCTGATACGCCAGAGCACATTTACCCACCATGAACTGAGCGGTGTTGGTTCGATCCAGACAGTCCACGCAGTTCGTCCTCAAAACCCCCGTCTGTCAAAACAACACAAAAAATGATTTCTGACCTGTAATAATATGTCACAATTTTTACTGTATGTTTGATGAAATAAATGAGTCTTGGTGAGCAGAAGAGAACGTTTAAAAAATCTTACTGACCTCAAAAGTGCACACTTTGCATGAAACATATACATTATTTAAGTTCAAATGTATTTACAAAGCACTTTAAAAAACACAAAGTGCAATTACAAGAACCTAAAAATATACATAAAAAAAAAGCACAAATAAATTGATGGACAACAGATTTTTAAAAAAAAGAGAGGAATAAAAACGGAATTAAAAATGCATAAAACAAAATAAAAAGCAGAAGTAAATCTGTTCAACACCTAGTGATCAAAATGTATTTTAAACACTTTTTTTAATATTTACAAATAAACAAAGGTAAATATGGATGTATATGCTTTCCTAATGGGTAATTTATGTGGAAATATGAGAAAAAAATTATTAAATAAAAATGTATCTAAATGTCTAAAAACATACGCAAACAAAGGTATTTGTGTGTGTGTGTGTGTGTGTGTATATATATATAATAGTTTATATTCATATTTTGAATATATTTTTATTCTGTTTTCATTTTAATTTTAGTGAAATATTTAGAAGTTCTGTTGTGTGTTTTTTATATCTAGTGGTTTTGTTTTTTATGTCTATATAGTTTTTATATATAGTTTTAGTCATTTTAGTTTATATTTTATATCAGTTAACATGCATTTGATTTTTAAGATCAAAATGTTTTAGTTTAGTTTTAGTTCTATAAGTATATATATGTATATATATATATACAGTATATATATATATATATATATACAGTATATATAAAATATAGACAGATATAGATATTATATATATATATTGATCTGTGTGTGTGTGTGTGTTTACAACAATGAATTAAAATGCATAAAACATATGTGAATCTGTTCAACACCTACTGATTAAAAAGGCTTCTCTAAGAAAACATGTCTTAAGACGAGTTTTAAACACATTTAAAAAATTTTTTTTTGTATTTTATAAATAACTAAAAATGTATGCAAACAACGGGATATGCCTTCTTAATGGTTAATTCATCTGTACCCATTGGAAATTTTTACAAAAAAAAATCATTACAGTGATAAAGAATAATTTACTGAATTTTACAAAGCACTGACAGATCTTTGACAGAATGCATCTACATTTAAACAACAACGTAAAATCAGGCGGCGTGTGACTGCTGGTTTAATGTGTCGGTCCGATAAACACTTTGTTTCTGATTGGACACTTCTTGACCAGATTGAGCACCAACATGCAGCAGATTTTGAGGAAGACAAACCTGTAGCCTGCCATTCGGTGTGACCTTCCCTCCGAGATCTCCCCACCTGAACAACAGAGAGAGTCGTTTAAAGCAAACGAGGCTCTGACAGCCGATCTCCATCATCAGACCCGCTGCTCGCCTCAAACTTTCACCTCGTGCGTTTGAAAACAAGTAAGTGCTTCAACACGTGGACCATTAGCGCTTTACAACAACAAGAGCTGGGAAACAACAAAAGTGCTGCATTTACCTCAGACGGGAGGCTTTCTGGGCTCTTATGAGAAGGACAGAAATAGTGTTTGAAGCACTGTACACATATGCAGCTCATCGGAAGAAAATTTGCTCGGTATATTAGTTGGAGTCTTAGTATTAGGAGTATTAGCTGATCCATTTTCAGCATTCACTCAGCATTGTTAGCATCAAGGCCTTGCAGAAACAGATTCATGTGAAATAAAAATCAATGCTGGAAGTTTGCAGATCTTCAGGAGCTAAATATATACATCACTGCCTGATTAGCTCCGCCCACCGATTCTACATCACTGCCTGTTTAGCCCCGATTCTACATCACTGCCTGATTACCACCGATTCTACATCACTGCCTGTTTAGCCCCGATTCTACATCACTTCCTGTTTAGCCCCGATTCTACATCACTGCCTGTTTAGCCCCACCCACCGATTCTACAGCACTGCCTGATTAGCCCCGCCCACCGATTCTACAGCGCTGCCTGATTAGCTCTGCCCACCAATTCTACAGCACTGCCTGATTAGTCCCGCCCACCGATTCTACAGCACTGCCTGATTAGCCCCGCCCACCGATTCCACAGTGCTGCTTGATTAGCTCCGCCCACCGATTCTACATCACTGCCTGTTTAGCTCCACCCACGAATTCTACATCACTGCCTGTTGCATCACTGGAGGAAGCGTTATTATGGATTATGGACTCTTCAAAATTGTCTTGATGGATTTGTTTGACGTTAATAAATAGACTGCAGTGGTGTGGAGTACTTGTGGACTATTGTGATGTTTTTATCAGCTGTTTGGATTCTGACGGCACCCATTCACTTGCAGAGGATCCATTGCTGAGACAGTGATGCAATGCTACATTTCTCCAAATCTGTTAAAGAAATAAACTCATCTGCATCTCAGATGGCCTGAGGGTGAGCATTTTTTTCAGCAAATGTTCATTTTTGGGTGAACTGTTCTTTTAATATAGTGTTCTGATAAACCCCTGTGGCTAACATTTGCAGAATATTCTTCAAACGATTTGCATTTAAAAACAGATGCTTGACAGAACAGCCATTTCTATCACATAAATGTGAATTTAAATGAGACACATTTGTTATTAAACAACATTATTTACACAATCTTAGATTCATTTGTTTATTCCTTCCACCTTTTGTGTGTCACACCGCTGCTGAAACAGACTCTGCTTTTGTGGAATCAAGTTATTCTCATCTTAAACAAACGGATGTTTTGTTGTAAAGGTCATTTAAGCGTGTGCATTTACCTTTCATCAGGACGTAACGTGTGGCAATAAAAGTCAGGTCGATTAACGAAGAATCCCGTCCTCTTGACCACATTCTCAGCGATCATGCTGAGACGATCCAACACGTTGCACAGTTTACTGCAGATGAGAAGTTACAATTCTACTGTCAATTACAATGTTACAAAAGATTTCCATTTCAAATAAATGCTGTTCTTTTGAACTTTCTATTCATCTGTGAATCCTGAAAAATAAAACACCGAAGACTGGAGTAATGATGCTGAAAATTTATTTGAAATAGTAAAAATATTTCACAATTTTTACTGTATTTTCGATCAGAAAATGAGCAGAAGAGACTTATTAAAAGATCTTACTGACTCCAACTTTTGAACAGTAGTGTATATTATATCAGTTCCTGAAAAACAGTCACTTTACGACAGTCGTACGCACCTCTTTGTGTATCGCGCCATGTCCCAGGCGATGTACTCGATGCCGTGCTCCGGCGGGAGGAACTGGTTCAGGTTGGTGATGGCGGGATAAAACTCCTCACTCAGGATCTTCTCATGCTTTCTCTTCTCTCGTTTCTGACAAAATCAAAATCACCAAATCGACAATTATCACACTGATTCCAACAATTTAACCTCAACTTATAACAAAATATGCTCTCCAGCCCTGCAGCAGCAAGACAAACGTGCGGCTTAATGTTTAGCAAATTTGTGCCAAACAAAATCGCAGAAAAATTTTGGGAACAACGGACAATTTGCAAAAACTCCAAACACCATAAAGGTTTATTTTTCTAAGTTGTAAATACAACAAAGATTATTAGAGTACGTTTTACAAGAAAATACTATTTCAGTCTTACGACTTCGAAATTTCACGTTTAATTCAATGCGTTACTTGCCGATTCTTTGTAGTTACTTATTAAATTTACTAGCAATTTCTGAGTGAAAATTGTTTCAAAGTAAACCTTACATAAATTTTTTTAGTGTGTTGGAAAATAACGCGTCCTAGAAAAACTATGTAGGTAAACTTTAGCAAACTAAAGCAATAAGCCCCTTGAAGCCATGGTTTACAGTGAATTCATAACAGCTAAGGGGCGTTGTTACGACGCAAAGTGGATTGTCTAAAAACCCCTTAGCTGTTATAAATTCACTGTAAACCACGGCTTCAAGGGGCTTATTGCTTTTATAAAATGGTTATTCCATATACGTAGTAAGGTTTCACTAATGTTGCAACAAAGGTGTATGTTACTTTGTAGAGTCATTTACAACAGCTTCGAACGCGGCTCAGTCAATCAGAATCAAGGACCGGAACTCTCCGTTTTATAAAATTCAACAAAGCATTGTTTAACACTTAAAACACATGAAACGTGTTTGCCAGGACACTATATTTTCATAAGAACATTTCAGTACAAATAATGAGTTTTAAATGCATAAATCATATGCATTTTATCATAGAAACACAACTTTAAGAATCTTTTACCCCCTTTTATAAAATGCTAAATTGAATAATGAACCAAAATTAATAAGTTATTACATGTGTTTTAAATGCATAAATAATATGCATTTCATCATTAAACAATATTCAAGAATAATTTTTTTTATTTAATAAGAATAGAGAATATTACTGTTGAGTATTACTGTTTTTACTGTATTTTTGATCAAATAAATGCAATTTAGAGAATCATTTGCTCTCTTATTTTGAAATTCTGAATTAAATAATGAATCAGAATTAATAAACACTGCATTTTATTTTTACGTTGGATGACATCAGAGATTGCATAAAAACGAAATGTTGCAGCAACATTCACCAAAGATTTGCCAGGGCAATATATTTCCATAAGCACATTTCTACACCAATAATGAGTTTTAAATGCATAAAACATATACATTATAATCACATATACTAGATTTAATACTGAATTAAATAAATCAGAATTAATAACAATTGGTGTGTTTTAAATGCATAAATCATACGCATTTTACCACAGAAACAACTTTGAGAATAATTTATTAAAATGCCAAATTAAATAATGAATCAGAATCACACTGTTATACTGAATTTGAATTATACAGAATTACTATCTGTACTGTATTTTGACCAAATAAATGCAAATTAGAGAATCATTTGCTCCCTTTTTAAATGCTGAATTAAAATAATGAATCAGAATGAATAAAAACAGAGTTTTTTACTCTGGAGAACATCAGAGACGGCATGAAAAAAACACATGAAACGTTTCAGTATCATGAGTTTTAAATGCATAAATCATATGCATTTTATCACAGAAACACAATTTGAGAATCATTTTCTCTCTCTTTTTTTTTACTGTGAAGAACATCAGATTTTGCATAAAAAAAACACATGAAACATTTTCATAAGTATGCTTTTTAAATGCATAAATAATGTGTATTTTATTATGGAAACACAACTTTGACTCCCTTTTTTCAAATGCTGAATTAAATAATGAATCAGAATGAATTAGCAATGCTGTATTTTGCAGCGCTGCTCATGATGTGGATGACTCAAACAAACGTCCTCCTCCTAAGCCATGACTAATCCACCATCAATGCTAGTAAGATATTATACATCCGTCGCACACTCCGGCAAACACACGTGAACGATCTGCGCTTTACGCGTTCAATCCTTGGGCCACATTTGCACGAACGACTCCAGCGTTCACAAAAATCGTTCTGCGGTAGCCTGAGTTTCCTGCGGCCCACAATGCCGTCTGCCTCCCA